AACTCGCCCCGGTCCGGTTTCAAGTGTTGGATATGTAAGTTGTTCGGTTTCGTAGTTGAAGGACGAAATCTAGACTTTGTTAAGAGTTGAGAGACGAAAAATATACTTTGTCATTTCCATGGTTGCTATATATCTAAATCAGGAAATTATAATGCATCAAATTTTCCAGCATTTAACCGATGCAGTGGACATCTATATGAATAAATCCTATATACATAAGAAGTTGATCCCCACTATCCAATTTATCTCAACATGCACACATGCCACATCATCAAAGACCCACCACTACATGCATGAGAAAAAGTTTTTCATTATTAATTGATCTCATGCACACCTTTCACCTCACCACACATGCCACCTCATCAAAGGTCCACTCAAAATGCATGAAAAAAGTTTTCCATTACATTATGCCACTTATATTCAACATATTTTCTGACTACACAATAATCAAATACTTCCTCCGTTCCAAAATAAGTGCCTCAACTATATACGAACTTTGTCCAAAAATAAGTGTCTCAATTTTATTACAACTTTGTACTAAAGTTCATAAGACAGAGGACGTACAATATATAATATTTATTTTTAGCTTTAGTTCATATATTATTAATTCAACTATGGAAACTTCATACAATCAAATCATTGAAATATATTGTAATTGATTCCCGCAGCAACGCGCGAGGTATTGTCTAGTTATCATCACACCTCGGTTCTCAGTTACTCTCTCTGTTCCAATAAAAACATAGGACATAAACTTTCTGTAGTAAACTAACCAAGCAATTAGCAAGGCAAGCACGAAGCACCTACCAGCAGTGTCTAAAGCGTTTGGTTTCAATCAACAAGGAGCCGCAACCCAGCAAGAGGATTAAGGTCCAGTGCGCACTAGTGCCGGTGCGTCCACCGTCCAGCATGGTGGCTTGCCGGCGTCAGCGGCGTGCAACTCCAAGCCTCCAACCGATAAGAATGAGATAGACAAGTCCATAAAGAGGAGCCAAGGTGGTCATCAGATGAACGAACGAGTTCGCAATGGTCGGCCGCTCAAATCATGTCAGCGGACGATGGTTCGCCATAGCTGTGGCCTGGTAGTGATCTAGCCCTGCAGCAACAGTCTATCGGAGCCGTGGAGAATCGGGGATGGAGGCTTCTCTGGTAATCTGGCCGAAAGGTGGAGGGCGGACGAGTCAGGTGCCGAACAGGCGAGGACGCTGTTCGTAGACTGTTACCGGGCATTATCTACTGGGTTGTGCTAAAGTAGTGAATATACCTAGTATAAAATTCTTTTTTTTTAATTTTGGAAAGGGGGTCGTGGCCCAGTTTCGCCTCCACTATCCTCCGCCAGGGCTTCCGATCTAGATCATGCGAGCAGCATAGCGCGCTACGCGACGCGACGGCAACCACACAACACGGCGGCTCGGCAGGCGTTAATCCTAAAAATATGGTAACTCATGTTGTATTAAAAGATCATCTCTTTATTACATGTTTTTTAGTAAAGACAAGCTTTTTCTTGTGATTTTTCTCTGTTCCATCTTAATATTTATCCTATATGGCACTCTTAAGATAGTATCATTGTACATGCCGGTTAACCGAATTTTTGGTTACCTTTTTGGTTGATATTTTTCTTTTTTTTTCTTTTACTAACCAAATTTTAAAAATAACTGAATGGTAGAAACCGAGTTTTAGTGTCATACCGAGCGCCCACCTTGACCTTGGCCCAACTAGGCCACGGCATCTCTCCTGTTGGGCTAGTCCAACTGTTTAGGGATTTGAAAAAAGTTCATCGATTTTGAAAAGAAAATCACAGATTTGAAAAATTTCACAGAGTTTCAGAAAAGTTCACTTAAAAAGTTACAAAAAGTTCAAGAAAGTGAAAAAGATTCACAAATTTGAGAAAAGTTTCAAGTATTTAAAAAAGCAAAATGAACAAAAAAAGGGAACAAAACCCAGTTAAAAAAACAAAAAAAAACCCCAAAAAACCAGTGGAAAACCAGCTCATTTCACCCCGAGTAGATTCCGCCCTACTACTTTAGCACGAATGTGACGCGAGCCCAACTGGCTAACGGTGCTACCCATCACCTGGAGACTAGGGATTGATTCCTCTGTGCTCCTCTTTTTCTCCCCTTTTTCTTTCAATTGTGCATGCAATAATGGGTCGGAATAGCCGATTTACCCGATTAAGGCGAAGCGCTTCTCTCATATCGACGGGCGACGTAGTTTTAAGAAAGATCATCCTACCCTTTATTACAAAGGGATATGAAGAGATCTTCACCGTCGTTGCATCGACGACATCTGGAAGACGAAACGTGTGCTGGGTTCGTGGTTCGTGGATGGCTGGTATGATTTCCTTCTTCGGTATCTTAGTCGTGGTGGGGTGCTAGATCTGAAGTTTGATGGCGCGTTTGGGGCTTCATTTTTGGTGAGCGATCTTAGAGGTCCGCAAATCTGCATATCAACGATGGAGCCAATTCGAGCTTGGGTGAGGAGGTGATCCGTCATTCTTTTCTTAGGTGGCTGATGTGGTGGTGCCAGAGACAGATGATGATCGTTGGTGTCAAGCTTAGAGATGTTCTGATATCTTTTCAGTTTTATCATATCGGTCCTTGCGTGACTTGTACTTTAATCTTTATGAAATGAATGAGACACGTATTATCATAAAGAGGAGGTATAACTCAATTTTTTACGGAAATGTTAATGCCCACATGTGTGGGCGTTTGCATCTCGCCCACACGCGTGGATCCGCGTCCGTTCGTGAGCGCATGAATCTTGGCATGTTTCTAGTGCGACGTAGGATTGGCCTGGTGTGTGGGCGTTCACCCGGTCGCCCACACGGCCGTTTCATCATACGGGAGGGCCTGGTGTGTGGGCGTTCAGCAGTTCATCCACACGCCACTTTTCCACGCACGCACAAGGGCTAGTGTGTGGGCATTTGCCATCTCGCCCACACGCCCATCTCCTCTCCCACACCCAAGCTGCTAGTTGCCATGTGTTTTGCAGTGCACATGGCAACTGCCCTAATGTGCTCTATAAGCAGGTGACAACTCTCTTTTTACCCGAGTTGTCATGTGTTTTGCAGGATACACGGCAACTGCCTAATGTGCACGTAAGCAGATGACAACTCTCTTTTACCGAGTTGCCATGTGTTTTTACATGGTACATGGTAACTGCCCTAACGTGCACGTAAGCAGATGGCAACTCTTCCTTTTACATGCATGGCAACTGCCCTAGCATGCTTGTGAGCACATGGCAACTCTCTCAACTGCCTAGTGTTGGTATGTGGCAACTCCTAAAATTTTGAAATCATGACAACTACAGTAGACTAGACCATACATGGCAACTGCAGTTGAGCAACAATGGCAAATGCAGTTGTCCGACATGGCAACCGTAGTTCAGCGACATGGCAACTGCAGTTAAACGAACATGGACGAGGGTCTGGACCATGGCAACTGCGGGCGCGCGGTGACAGTCACGCGTGACATGCGGGACCACGAGGTACGAGGCCTGACATACGGGGCGTGTGGGCATTATCTACTTCATCCACACGCATGCGTGTGAGAGGGATCAGAAGGAAAAAAAAAGAGGTGTGTAGGCATTACTTATTTTGTCCACACATAAGTGTGTGGGCTATTCTTCTTACACACCACACAAAATGTGTGAACAGACTCCCTAACGCTCATACATGTAGCACTTATCGGCGTCCATTTTTTATGAGGTGAGTGCTTTTAGCGAAGGGGTTACAGGGCGACTCCGGACCCTCTCGTTGGCCAACGACAATGGACAGCATGCGGTTGGTCATGTTTGACGACGGTGGCAAGACAACCAGTGAGGTTGGATCATATTTGGGGCCAACAACGAAGGTGAACGATATTTATTACATTTGTTGTTCCATGAAAATGCATACAAGTATAATAAATTCATATCTTGATGAGTAAAATGCATCATAAATTTTAAAAATATTTGAGGTGTGTCAATTTAGTCCTATAACTTTGAAACTGCAGCTTTGAGTCCTAAAACTATTAGATGTGTATCAGTTTAGTTCTATAACTTCGAAACTGCAGTTTTGGGTCCCAAACTATGTAAGTTTCATGTCCTAAGCTTGCATAACCAGCATCTATGGTGCATTTTTTCAAGGAGCCCTTTATATGTGTTTACTTCCCAAAAATGGTCCATACGCTTTCACGTCGCAGTGTGTTGCAACCTACACACCCACCGCCTGCATGGCCATGAGCTACAGTGCGGCCCCGCTGAGAGGTTTGGCACAGTCGTCAGGGAGACCCGAGCCATTCGGCATGGAGGACGACATCCCTCTACCTTGGCGGGCTGCCAGGGAGAACCCGAGCCAATCGGGATGCATGACGTCATCCCAACTCTTTCTCTCATGAGGTTTGCAAAAAAAAAACTCTTTCTCTCATGACATTGTTGTTGCCCCGACATCCTTGTCGCACAACTGGTCGTGCATGTTGTTGTTTGGGCACGAGCATGGCCACATGTGCGGAATTGTCGCTACTGCCAGACGACGCGGAGAAGTGCGCAAAAACCATGAAGTTTTAAAGTTATAGAACTAAACTAACATAACTCCGGACCTAAAACTACAGTCAAAATTATAGGACTAAAATGACACACCTTTAATAGTTTTAAAACCCAAAACTGCAGTTTTAAAGTAATTGGACTAAACTGACACACAACAAATAATTTTAGGACTTATGATGTATTTAACTCTATCTTTATTATGCATATTAAGATGCACACAGCTGCCATAAAAAACAAGCACACGGAGAGAAGGCAAAATACATACCCACACGGCCATATCATGAAAAGGGTATATAATTATATGGACGTTGGATACTTGCTTTAATAAAGAAATTAAAGATGGTTGTGTATGATACAGAGGCCGGAGACTTGACCTCTTTTTTGAAAGACAAGTGGAATAGATTGTTCTCAAGACTTGCCTCACGTCAAGGATCAAAGTCTGAATTGGATCTCGAATAGATGGTTGTGCTGAATAGGCCTCAAATCGAAGCCGAAGGCAATAAAAACTGAGGTACAAGAGAATCCCGAAGACTGGGTCCAGGATTGTGCATAGCAGTCGTTCCTCGTTTCATATCATACACGTACAACGCCTTGTCATCAGACATCAAAAAGTATATGCGGTCCCGTTTTCTTAGACCGAGCTGGAGTGCATGGAACGATGCTCCATAACCGCGGCAACTATCGTAGAAAATCACCATGTCGCCGAGCGTGTCCACCTTCAGCCAAGCTCCATTGGAGACATCCAACTTGTGCACAACAATTCGCGCGATATGCCGGACAGATATCCCGTGGTAACAAAAGCTTAGCACAAACAGCTCTCCGCGGCACTCTAAGATGCCGCAATGAAACCTGGTATATCCGATTGGGAAACGTTGTTGCAGCAAGGCGTGCGTGGTGAACGCTGGGTATGGTAAGAACTCTAGTGTGACAATCTGATCGTGCTCGTCGTGATACAGGTCGTATGCGTAGAACCTGCCACCAAGCGTGGTAAGACCTTCATTGAAGCTTTTCCCATGCTCGTGCTCGTGCTTGAACCATTGGCTTCCTCCTGCATGGCAGTAGTAGATGAGTGCGTGTGCGAGGTCTGCTACGAGCACGACGCAATCTGGATCCGTCGGCTTGAGCGAGAGAAGGCACCTGCTGCTTTGTGCGGCTTGAAGGAGATTCTCTTGGTCTGGAGGTAAGCTAATCCTCTCAAGAGTTGATGGATTCCAGAGGAAAGAGTTGTGCGATTCGAGATGCAGCATGAGCACCCATCCTTGAGGTGTTAGCCAGTAACGATGGCCTCTGAAACCATCGGCTTTCCTGCCCAGCAACTGCCTCTTAGGGATGCTATACAGGAATATGGTGCCGTCGCCGCTTGCCTCGCCGTCATGTTGGTCGTCGAACAGCAGCAGCGGAGCGAGACCTGGATCCAGAGGAAACGGTGACACGCCGGTCAGCCCCTTCAAGTTCTCCGCCTCGCAGCGCGTATCCATCTTGTCGCCCGCCGTCCCCCTGCAAAGTTTTCTTAATTTCCTTCCCTTTTATGTTGCCGGTTGCCGGTTGCTGTTGCCCACACGGGCGCGCAGTTTAGGTTTCGGGTCGGACAAGGATTGTACGTACGTGACATATATGCTGCTTCTACTAGGGATGGAATTCTTCTTGGGCTCCAAGAGAGGAAATTTATAGCAAAGATATATACTAGCGTAAAGGTAAAGCTCGAGATATCCAGCCGCGCGCACGCGTCTCCGCTATTACCACCTGTTTATTGTGCGGCTATAGGGGAGAGGCGGCGATGTCGCAGGAACAAGATTGGTCGTCTCTCCCAGTAGACCTGCTTATCCTGATCCTGAAGCGTCTGCGGTGGTCGAGCCACCCGAGTTTCGCCTTGGTCTGTCGACAATGGCGCTCCGCCGTGTCGCTCTTCTACGCGGCGTGGATCACCCCGCTCCTGCTAAACACCACCGACGTTGGAACCACCAATGTCCGCTACTACAGTCCCCACTTCCAGAAAAACTTCGAGATTGGCGACACCCTAGAGGCACCTGGCGCCAAAATCTGTTGCGCCAATGGAAGGTACCTAACGCTATGCCTGTCAAAGCAAATCCTCAACGTTGACCTTCTGACCGACGACTTCTACCGTCTCCCACCGATTTCTCAGTTTTGGTTCGAACATATCGTCTACGATGGTATGGGCAAGATGTTCGGCATTGACACGCTTGTCGCTCAAGAGATTGGTTGTTGTGTGCAAAACAACGACGGCGTGTGGGGACGTTGGGCGTACTCCTACCCCGATAGGACAAAGTTCACACCGTCACCAGGGTCCAACCCTGTGTTCCACCGCGGCTTGGTCTATCTACTGCTAGAAGACGGAAGATTAGCTGCATGTGACGAGTCCAAACACGAAGAAGGATTTGAAATTCTTGAGAAGCCGCGGAGTTTCGGGCTTGTATACGAAGACAGCTACTTGGTCGAGTCCGACCAGGGTGAGCTGATGGTTGTCCTCATCGGCCGACGCGGGTCGCCTGTCAACATTTTCAAGCTCAATGAACACACGATGGAGTGGGAGAAAATGGAGAGCCTAGATGGCAGGGCTTTGTTTACAGGTACACTCACGACTGTAACGAAGAAGACTGCCATTAAGTCCATGCAAAACAAGGTCTTCCTCCCAAGACTCTACGATTGGCCTAACATCGTTTATGCTGACTTTGTCCTGCGCGACGGTGAATTTGCCTTCGTAGAGTCACGGCGTGTTGATAACAAGGTGAAGGTTGGCAATGGCGCATATAGCACAAATATGTGGTCTTACGAATTGGGACAACGCGAAAATCCAAGGGACTTTTGGGAGACAGAGAGAATGGATTACAGTATTTGGGTCGATTTTAGCAATAATTAGACTTCGATGGATAATACTCGGCTTATTGAGATTATAGGCAAACTTTAAACATTTCTCACTAAACAGTCTGCATTATACTACTAGAAATGCTTAGCGCAACATTGTTGCATAAAGTCAGATGAGAATTACTATTCTACACTACAAAGTATACATACTATGTATCTCTTGACAGAATTAGCAAAATACTTGCATCAAAAAGAGACAGCACTAGCGGCCAGTCATGTGGCGTGGAACTAAATAGGCACACCTCCGTGCCGCCCGATCAACATGCCCATGCGAGCATTGTAACTTGCAACATTTATTTACAATGCAATATCATCGTAAAGTTTTTCCTCACGGTCAATCAAGAAACATGTGAAGACTTGCATCATTATAAAGTTCAAACCCATCTATGGATGTATGTAACCATTGGGAGGAACGAACATAAGCAACAACTTGAAAACAGCTTTGCAATGCAACATTTGTGGTCGACACCGAAAATCATTGCATATATCATACATTTTTTTTTCAAGAACAAGTGACCGCTGTTTGTCATTTTCATTAGAGAAAAATATACTTTTCATCCCTCAACTCTTGGCCAAGTCTAGATTTGGACCCTCAATTTTGAAACCCGACAACTTGTACCCCCAACTATTGAAACCGGACATGGTTTGTCCCTAGTCTCAGTTTTAACCGGTTTTGGTGCTGACTCCCCCGGTTTTGACCCATGCTGACTCTTATTCGCGTAACAAATTCAAATCAGTGAGCTTTTTTGAAATTCACGTACATTTTTATATCCGTTTATTTTTCCCAAATACACGTACTTTATTTAGAACCGCTTATTTTTTTTCAGATTTGTGAACTTTTTAAAATTCGCATACTATTTTCAAGTTCGTGTAATTGTTTCAAATCTGCATACTGTTTCAAATCCCAGAACTCCTTAAATTTTTTTGAATTATTTATAATCCGCGTACTTTTCCAAGTTTGCCTAAATTTTCCAAATTCCTGCACTGTTTAACTAATACATTTATAATTTTTATAATTCACGTATTGTTCGCGTTTCATGTACAGTTCACGTAATTATTGCATAATCTTTATAATTTACGTACTTTTTTTTACAAAACTGCGTACATTTTCCAAGTAAACTTATTTTTTTAAAATCTGTGTACTTTTTTTCAAGTTTGCGTAGTTCTTTTCTAAATTGATGTTTTTTCCAAAAAAAAACTACGCAAATTTGTAAAACTATGTGAATTGAAAACATTACGCGAACATGAAAAAGGTACGTGGATTTGAAAACATACATGAATTTGACTCAGCATGGTCAAAAATGGAGTGAGTCGGCACCAAAACCGGTCAAAATCGAGTCCAGGGACGAAACTTGTCCGGTTTCAGTAGTTGGGGGTGTAAGCTGTCTGATTTTAAAGTTGAAGGACCAAATCTAGACTACGCCAAAGTTGAGGGATGGAAAGTTTACTTTACTCTTTTCATTAACTAGCAAATATGCCCGTGCGTTGCAACGGAAGAAAAAAAATCGCCTCTCATACACACACTCGACGACCCCAACAAATTACTTGAAATCTTTCACGGTGCCATACGAGAGACAACATGATAAGTGATGTTGTGCACAAACATAAAAGTGGGATGATTTTTTAAGTGTACTGAAGTTGTGTCCAGTTTACTAGACAAGACAAATATCTATCTAGTTGCTGGTATCAGTTCGCATCTTTTATGCGTTCCTCGTCGGTCATACCCAACAAATAATGCATTAGACTGAAAATAGCAAAGTACACTTTAGTACTCAATAATAACATGTGCATAAGAGCACTATTTCTGCCTTGTTGATATATGTATTTGCAACTGTAACCCAAGTCAAGACTTAATTTGGTTGCAAACATATTAGATTTCTCCATCGAAAATAATCAATCTATAAGGACATGCATAACGAATAGACATTTTCAAAATACATTTTCAAAATACCTCATATTAAAAAAAGTATTAATTAAGGGCACAACATAAACATAATTTTAGACATGATTAACATGAAAGATAATATCATATTTGGAATCTACACATTTTTTGAGCTATTCCCGTATATAACATTCTAAATTTGGTGTTAGGGGGTGTG